CCTTCCTTCCTTCCTTCCTTCCTTCCTTCCTTCCTTCCTTCCTTCCTTCCTTCCTTCCTTGTGGTTAGAATGCAGTATTACAGGCTAACTCTGCCCACAGCCATGAGTTCGAACCAGATCTGATAGCTCAAAGTTGACTCATCCTTCCATTCCTTCGAGGTGGGTAAAATGAGGACCCATATTGTCAGGGGCAATAGGCTGACTGTGATGACCCAGGGTGTGGCACAAAAGCAATAAAATCACAAAAGTGGGTAAAGTCTCTGTAATTCCTCCAACTTGGCCTCCAATGTCCAGTTATCATCAGCTGGAGAAAAAATTCTCCCAAGAACAGTTTTTAAAGGGAAGAAATCTAGTCTGAATCAAAAGTACATATAAATTATAAATAAAAACCAACACAAACCACGCTGCAGCAATTGACGAGATACGGCAGGATAAGGAATTGCAGAACTCAAAAGATAACGAAACACACACAGTTGGGAGGACGCCGGAACCCACATAAGACTTGACAAACAAAGATAATGCCCGCTTTGCTTCCAGCAAGGTTCTGTGCGCAAACACCCCTTTTAAATCCTGTTTTCCCAGCTGCAGCTAATGAAGGAAATCAGGGCCTTTTTCTCCCCCGTAACCCACGTTGCTCCCTTATCCGTTCCTCCCTGCGTGCTCTAGGATGAAAAGGGGGTGGGCCTGGGTCTTCCTCTGAATGCCCAGCCAGATTGTGCCCTTCCCCAGTTTCTTCCTCAGCCACCGGAACCACACTTCCACTCCCTGTCAACTGCTTGACCTCCCCCTTGGAATCAGATTCCAACAGGGGCATGGCACTGACTCTGTAAACCGCTTAGAGAGGGCTGTAAAAGCACTGTAAAGTGGAATTGCTACTGCTATTAGTACAGGTAGTTCAAAGTTACAGCGGCATTGAAAAAAGGGACTTATGACTGTTTTTCACACGTACAACCATTGCAGCACCCCCGTGATCAGATATGCCTGGCAACTGACTCACATTTATGAGGGTTGCAGCGTCCCAGGGTCACGTGATTCCCTTTTGCGACCTACCGACAAGCGAAGTTGATGGGGAAGCCAGATTCACTTAACAACCATGTCACTAACTTACCAACTGCAGTGTGATTTGCTTAACAACAGTAGCAAGAAAGTCGTAAAATGGGACAAAGGTCACTTAACGAATGTTTCACTTCACAACATAAATTTTGGGCTCGGTTGTGGTCATAAGTCAATGACTGCCTGTATTCTTTTTTCAATCTCTTTTCCTTTATTGCCCTGTTCTCTGCTTGGAGATACAGATTCACAGATTAACAGAGTTGGAAGGGACCTTGGAGGTCATCTTGTCCAACCCTCCCTACACCATTTCTGACAAATGGCCATCCAGTCTCTTCTTGAAAGCCTCCAGTGATGAGGCTCATGCAACTTCCAAAGGCAATTTCTGTACCATCGGTTGATTGCTCTCACTGTCAGAAAATTCTTCCTTATTTCCAGGTTGAATCTCTCCTTGTTCAGTTTCCATCCATTGTTCCTTGTCTGGCCTTCAGGTGCCTTGGAAAATAGCTTGACCCCCACCCCCTCTGTGCAGCCCCTCAAATACTGGACCACTGCTATCATGCCTCCCCTGGTCCTTCTTTTCATCAAACTAGACATTCCCAATTCCTGCAACGGTTCTTCATATGTTGAAGCCTCCAGTCCCCTAAATCATCCTGGTTGCTCTTCCCTGCGCTTTTTCTAGAGTCTCAACGTCTTTTTTATAGTGTGTGAGAAACTCACCCAAACTGAGATCCAGTTCCAACCGTGCTGTATGTCAATGCTCGTTCGCTCTCCTGTACCTTCTGGGAAAGCAGGCTAGCCAAGGCAGGGAAATAAACGCCTAATAAAGCAGACAGAGGAACAGGAAACAGAAAGAATTCCTGTTATAGGTATTTCTCGACTTACAACCATTTATTTAGTGACGATTCAAAGTTATAACGGTACCGGGGAAAGTGGTTCATGACACGTACAAAGCATTGCAGTCTCCCCGCAGTCGCACAATCAAAATTCAGATATTTGGCAACGGGCTGATATTTATGATGGTTGCTGTGTTCCAAGGTCCCACGATCAGCGTGGTGGTGCAGTAGTTAGAATGCAATATTGCAGGCTGACTCTGCCCACTGCCAGCAGTTCAATCCAGATGGGACTCAAGGTTGACTCAGCCTCCCATCCTTCCGAGGTAGATAAAATGAGGACCCAAATTGTTGGGGGCAAGAGGCTGACTCTGTAAACCGCTTATAGTGGGGTCTGTAAAAGCACTGGGAAGCGGTTTGATAAGTCTAAGTGCTTATTCTATTCTGTTCTATTTTCTATTCTATTCTATTGTTATTCTATTTTATTGTTATTCCATATTATTCCATTCTATTCCATATTATTCCATTCTATTCCATTCTGTTCCATGCAGTATTGGAGGCTAACTCTACCTCCTGACCAGCTTGAGGTCGACTCAGCCTTCCATCCTTCCAAGGTGGATAAAATGAGGACTCAGACTGTTTGGTGCAAGAGGCTGACTCTGTAAACCCCTTAGAGAGGGCTGTAAAGCACTGTGAAGCGGTATATAAGTCTAAGTGCTGTTGCTATTATTGCTCTGAAATGAAAGGCTCCACTCAAATATAGGAACTAAAATAATCATAAGAAACCTTTTTCTTTATAAGTAATTATTTTTTGTAAGTGCATTTGCTATGGCTATCACTTTTCGCGACTTTCTGACAAGCAAAGTCAATGGGGAAGTCAGATTCCCCATTGTTAAGCATTGTTAAGCTCCACTTATCAACTACGGCAGGAAAGGTCGTAAAATAGGACAAAACTCACTTAACAACTCACTGTCTCGCTTAGAAATGAAAATTATGGGCTCAGTTGTGGTTGTCCATCCAGAGACTACCTATATCCTTTTCCTTTGGCAGCAGATATCTACCGTAATCAAGCTTGCCAATGCAGCAGCTTAAAAATGTTGTGTTATCCTTATGAGTGTGAAATAGCAATAGCACTTAGATTTATATACCACTTCACAGTGCTTTACAGGCACTGCCCCCTTACCTGCACTGTGCCTCACAGCTGATTTTAGGCCAGTTTGAAGCCTTTTTCAGCCTCCCAGAGGCTTCAGGAAGGCTTCTGCAGGCTTTTCAGACCAAAAACTAGGCCCGTTTCATCATTTCCAGTATTTCCAGAAAAACAGGAAGTGACAAAATGGTTCTAGTTTTCAGCCTGAAAAGCCTACAGAAGCCTTCCTGAAGCCTCTGGGGGGGCTGAAAAAGGCCTCAAACTAGCCGAAAATCAGCTGTGAGGCGTGTGCATGTGCAGTGAGGTAAGTTTGCCTGCAGCTCGCATGCCGGCACAAATGGCTCTGCATGCCACCTGTGGTACACGTGCCATAGGTTTGCCATCACAGCCCTAACTCTTACCTACTAGAGCACAGCTGATGAGTAAAACAACTGAGGCGCCGCAATCCCCTGTGCCATGTGAATCAGCTGAGCTGAAAAACACAGAAACATAGGACAGGAGAGAGCAGGGGCGGATGGGCAGGGCCAGTTGATCGCCAGAACTACTGGTTCCCCAAGACCGGTCCAAACCAGCAGGATCCATCCACTGTTTACAGGCCTCTCTAAGCGGTTTACAGAATCAGCCTCTTGCCCTCAACAATCTGGGTACCTATAATGTCAGAATGTATTCATAAACTGGAATAGAGCATGGTAACAAGGTGAGCCAATGAATAGGCATAGCAACTAAGTCAGCCATTGAGGACTGTTTGGAAACTGAAACTAGAAGTAGCCTAGGAATGGTTCTATATTAAGCTCTGCAGCTCTGAAGCTATGTTAAGCTCGGAGTCTGTCGCAAATGAAACTGCTTCACTCTGCTATGTGTCTTGCTTGCCTGCTCAACTAAAGTGAAACTGATGTCTGTTTCTGAGCACTTGAGTTGTTGTTCCGCTCTGAACCTTTGAGTTTCCTCCATGTTGGAGAAATCTACAACATTTCCTTGGTATTGTAAAATTTACTGTATGTTTATAAAGAGGTTAAATGAATCCTCAGTCACCTGTGTTTACTTTTCTAGCGCTGAATTTACACTGCAATACTCTGAGCACATAATAATAATAATAATAATAATAATAATAATAATAATAATAATAATAATAATAATAAT